AGGTTTGCGCAAGCCGCCGCAATCCTTGCCCCCACATCACGGAAGTCGTGCGCCCCAGAATCACAAAGGCACCGAGACGGAGAAGCAACACGCAGCGCCAGTTACTGCAACGATTCAGGGAAGTATCAGTCAAGAACGGCGACTGCTAGATGGAGACTCGGTCCTGCTAGGCTCTGCAGCATTCCTGCCTCACAATTAGCAGGGCGTGCATGGCAGGCGAGAGACAAAAGCCCAACTCAAGCGGCGCGACCTCGGTACCACAACACAAATCTGCTCTTGTCTCTGAGGAAACAGCCATTTCGAAGCACACTTGCTCAGCTTACACACAGATGCACAAGCATATCACGGTCAAGGGAGTTACTTGGCCGGGTTGAGCTCGGGCTTTGCTGTCTGCACAACCGGACTCGCTACCTTAACTGGTACGCCTCAAGGTGACGCCACAAAGGCACCATCAGCGGAGGTGAGGTGCAAATGCACGGCGAAATGTAGCCAGGAGGCAACCGGAGCACGGAGCGAATCTGGTCCGTACGGCTGTAGCGATGTCCCAGCCTCACAGCAGCAGTGTGCAGGTTACCAATCTAGGCTCGCAGATAGAACAGCATGCAGAGCAACTGGTGGTACAAAAACCTGACTTGCGGAAGCAATGTAATCCTTCCCATGTATTCTCTACTCTATGGCCTTGCCATGCGACCTGGCTGCATCTTGCGCAGATAGACGGTCAAAGCAATGGCCCGCATTGGCCGGCGTTCTGTGAATGCGGACCTTCCCTGCGGGGAAGGTGCCACTGACAGGAGCGGTTGCCATGGCACCAGTGTGGCAGCAGCCCTCCCCCTCAAGGGCCGCGCGTATGGATGGTGGACAAGGTGCTGGCCGTCGTGCTGGCTCGGGATGCTCGGCATCCAAGGCGCAAGGTCACGTACTTCAGATCACTGGAACACCAGGAAACGGACTCCGCCAGCTCCAGAAATACGCTCAATTTACTGGCGGGACCCATTCCATCGCAAGAACTGCAACAAGAACGGCGACAGAGCGGTTTGCTGGAGCCATGCCTTCTTACAAAGCACGGGTGGGTCCCTGCAACTGCTCTGTTCGGCACGGCAGCGGTGGCTTCCGCCGCAGAGGCTGAGACATCGGTTCGATGGTTTCGGGACAGGTCAACTTCTGCCATGGCAGATTTGCTGAAGCCGCCACAACCCTTGCGACACAGGATGAAGGCCACACCCCCAAGCATCATAGAGGATCCGTGATGGAGATGCAACACACTGCGCAAGCTCCTGGAACGGGCCACGGCATGGCAAGCCAACAACTGCAGCTGCTACACGGAGACCTCGTGCTGCTGATGGAACCTTCCTGCTTTGCAGTTGGCAGGGCACCTGGCAGGCGAGAGACACAAGCTCAACAGAAGCGGCACGACCTCGGTACCACAACACAAATCTGCTCTTGTCTTTGAGAAGACAGCCACTTCGAAGCACGCCTGCTCATCTCACACACCTATGTATAGGCTAATCACCATCGAGGTAGACGCTCGGCGGGTTTGAGCTCTGGTTACTCGGGGCCGCAGAACCGGATACGCTACCTTGGCTGCCATGCTAGGAACATGATCCAGTCTCCAGACTACTCCTTGTCTTATAATTATACGGCAAACCCAACCGACGTCAACCAACTAGAAAACTTTGTGCTTCGTCGAGATTCTGCATAGCTGAGATGCAGATGTTCGACAACATCTAGCGTGAAGGCACAGACAACGCGAAGGCAAGCTTCAGATTGGCAACATGAGATTTACCGACAGAGGTTCTCAAAACTGGCCGCGCGAAGACCAACCGGTAATGCAAAGATCTGGCATGCTGACGCAAGGTCCTTGGCTTCCGGACTTGTAACTCTGGGGATCCAACATGATTGGCATGCCCTGCTTCCTACCCTGCTCTGCGCAGTCTGCTCCTGGTGCATGCTAGCGGGCCAGAGCGCGACTCAGAGGCGCGGTCGTGGCACGGGAGTGCCGATGACGTGTGCGGCATGCTTGGCGAGCGACATGCAGCGGACTCCGGCAGGACAAGCGCTGCGACTGCGCTCTACCAATATGCCATGCCAGAACTTGTCTGCACAGGGATCACCACCGAGAAAGTGACGCGCTCATATCGAGTGACCCAAGCCACCTGCTTGGGACATCAACACCCGAAATCCGGTGCGCACCCCAGCTTCTGGGCCAACAGGCCTCCAAGAAATGGAGAAATACTGCCGAATGGGATTTCTGCACCGTGAGACTTCTCGAACATCACCTCGGCTTGGCTTGCTTGTCAAACACCTTTGCTCACCCTCTCTCTCTCTCTCTCTCTCTCTCTGTCTCTCTCTCTCTCTCTCTCTCTCTCTCTTTCTGTCTCTCTCTGTCCACCTTCGGTTCCTGAGGATGTCTGTTTGATTGCTTGTGACTACACATCCGTTCCATCAAGCCTCTGGTCGAGCTGCAGCCTGAAAACCCACCTCTGAAAGCTTCATGAGAAAAACCCTCGAGCAGTCAGAGTCCAAGACCTAACGCTGGTGTTGCGATGTTGGAATCCGAACCTCAGAGCAAAGGTTACAAAGCTCCCACCCCGAACCTGAAGCAGCGGCTCAGCAAGACCGAGCATAGCATCACTACGAGAAAAGTTCTGTTCCCTGCATCTGTGGGCACTCGTGGTCCTCTCGGCATTCAAGAGACTGTAATGCGCAGAACCGTTGCAGTCCTGTTTGTAGTTGAGGGTTTAAGGCTCGTCGAAGCAGGGTTAGCAGCCTTCACTACGGCATGAAGCGCGGGTTCGTCCAAAGTCCCTGCAAGTCTCCGATTCTGCTGCCGGAGTATCTGAACATGTGGAATAGTGTCATCTTGATTCGGGGGCAGTTGAAACCCAAGATCCCTGTTATTCACAACACATCCCCTTCTCCCACGACCATACCCACAATGTCGCCTTCTGGTTGCTGTTTTGTTTGATGGGTTTGAATACTCATGGTGCGGTGCTGCATGGTTGCAACACAACCACCGACATGGAGAACCATGAATGTTTGGACCGACGCAAGACAGTAGCTTACTATGACTCAGTGCAGCGCAAGCACAGAGCAGCATTCCTGGGCCCTCAGCAAAGTCGGATGGCCTCAAAGCTTCTTCTCGCCGCTCTCGCCTCACAAGACTTTACGCTTTTCGCTCCAGGCTTAGGCTTTGGGGTGGGCAGCTGGCAGGAAAGTTCAACGTGCAGGGCCCTGTTGCCATTCGTGTAAGGTCGTGTCTGCGAAGAAACAAAGCCGAACTGCTCGCTTGTAACCGAAGGGCGCAAGAAGTGTTCGGCTTGGTTTGGCTCGGCTTCATTGGCTTCAGGGAAGGTGTGTGCTGGTGCCCCCTCCCTGCATGTGCATCACATTGGCAAGACTCAGGAAACAACAAGTGCATCCCAGAGCTTGGTCTTCAATGCAGACGAGTTTGGCTACGTTGTCCAGGGCTGTAGGCCTCATCACAGCCTTCTCTCCTGCGGCCTCTTATGCTCCCGCACGCCGGGGCCTTTTGGCCTCGCCAAGCTGGGTGACAGCACGGCATCTGAGCCGAAATGTTGAGAAGATGAGATTCCAAACACCAGCAGCTGGACAGCGACGGCTAGGGCCCAGGAATGTTCAATCAGGCTCCCAGCGGAGAAAGCCAGAGAAAGAGAGAGCAAGGGAGGGAGAGGGCGACAGAGAGACGGAGACAAAGAGACAGGGGAGATTTACTCCCGCCCCCCCCTGGCAGTCTGCTCTCTATGAACGTCAGCGATTTTCCAGGCATACGCCGTGATCAAATACGGTAGGGTGCACTACCATTGCTAAGACTGCTAAGAAACGATAGATGTCAAAACTGGCCGAGCAACTCGCTGTCACTCCTCCACTAACTCAGGTTGCATGTTCAAGCTTGAGGAGCGTGAAGGGAGGCTCGGGGCAACGAGGCAACCGAACAAAGCAGGAGCTGCACCACCTGGCTGCGAGGCCGCGGGCAGTGTCGGAAGTGCGATGCTCTTTGCGGGATGAATATTGAACACCCCATCATCCCAGTCAGTACATGTGCAGACTTGGCGGAAATGCCACGGGGCCGGCGACTTGGACCTAGACTTTGCGAGTCCACCGACTCAGCTAGGGTGCATCGGCACCGACACCGATGAGATGGTTTCGTCGCGGGACAACGAGGCATTGAAGTTTCCGGGGGTCTCTCGGCCTCATTTTAGAAGGCCTTCTACATCATCATCTCAGCGGCATTTCTTTTAATGCCGTCTCTGGACAGAAGACTCGAGCTGAGCACAACACTTTCATTCGATCTGGAATAATGTTTGGGACTGTGCATGGAGAAGTCTCCCTCTATCTTTGCTTGCCAGGTGGGCGCCCAAATTACTCTATGCCAACTTCGTACTCAACGTAGTAGTCTTTGATGGGTTTGCCTTGGTCTGACTAAACAAAAGGTTCAGGCATTTTCGAAAGTAGCAAAGACTGCAAGATGCAAGAACAGGCCACAGACGGCTACTCGAAGGCCAAGACTGCAGCTGATCCATTCTTGAAGTCAATGTGTCATCGCTGGCATGCTCACCGTCACTGAAAAAGCTCGGCCAGGATGCCCAGCCCAATTGCATCAAGGCGACTGCCGACTGCGGAATCGGAAGATCAGGAAGGAAGGCTGGGTGCGGGGATAGGTGTGCACGCTGGCGTTGACCATGTTCTTTGCAGGTGTCGCCCCCGAAACAGCATGTGCAAACCTGCAGCGGGCTTTCCCACACATCCTGAGTGACAGGCCGGCGAGACAAGCATGCCACCACCCTAGGGCTCTAGCTCAGCTAGAGCCCCATCACAAAGGTACAACAGAAGCGGCTGCGTGAGGGCAAACTTCAGGGAAAACGGCCTTTTGCTCTTCACTGGGACTGCCCCCTGCCTCAGCATCAACTTCGCGCAAACTGGCTTCGTCAGGCTGCAGAATTGCTGGAGCTGGGACCGCCACCCCTATACTCCGCGGGCTGCTACTGCGAGCAGGTGACTGAGTGAAGGCCTTCGCGATCGAGCAAAGGCCGTTGCGACGGATATTCCGAAGATATGCGAGTTCGCATGGACACAGGCGGCATCATGATGAGCTCCCGGTCGCCAATCGCTTCCGGCTCCTGCTTCCGGCGCACATCTGTGCCAGCGCTGCATGCAGCCAGCGCCACCACAGGCATCATGCGGAAGCCAACAAAGTAGGCATTCGCCAAGAAAGACGCCTGGGTGGGCTCCATCCGTTCAAGGAGATATTCCAGCCACGACAAAGCCGAGATATTCTTGGACAATCTGACTCCTTGCATGGGCCTTGCTAGCTTGGGACTACAGTCATCTACCGATCACACGTCTCACTTTGAATTACAAACCGGGTCGTGCAAGACCATGCGGTCTGTGGAGAAAGAAGCCTTCCATCGCAGCCTGCCGCTGCCGACGAAATGACACCGAGCTCTCGACACATCACCTGGAACTCGGAGCCACAGGCACAATGTGGCTGATGGCTCTCTCCGGGACTTTCTCCCTAAATCCCAAACTGACGCGCGGAACGAACGATGATGGCAAAGGAATGATCACAGCGCACGCAACACATGGGGCAGCAAGCGGATCTGCGAGACCGGCATCAGCACGCGTCGGCCTCAGCGACGTGACGGGCTGCCTCGGATGCATCCAGTTTGGGAATCAACAGCCGGTCTTCAAATGCACCTCGGCTTTGCCGAAGAAGCCCTTATGGGAAGTCACTTTTTGCTGGATCCTCCAGTACGGAGGCTCAGCTTCAGAAGGCGTACGTAAGATCGACCAAAGTGTTGCAGTTTACGCTCTCCCTTGGTTCAGTCAAAGGGAAAGAAGACTCGGTGGAAACGGGCCTTGCGTGTCATCTGTGAAAGGAGGGATGGCGTGGCTTGGCCTTGGCTATAGGGCGCAAGCCCGTGTCCTGTCGGGTGACTTGGCATAGGGAAGACTGCAACAAGCAAAGCCACAGACGGCCACTGGACAGCCTAAAGGGCAGCCGTGGCACCGTTCAAGTTCATGATTTAATAATGTCTCATCACTGGCCCGCGTATTGTCACTGAAGAAGCTCGGCAAAGGTGCCCAGCCCAACTGCATCCGACAGTGGGGCAGGAGGGAAGGCTGTGTCTGGGGACAGCTGTGCACTCTGGCTTTGACGATACTCCTCGTCGAGGGCATCGTTTCGGAAGCAGTGTGGGCAAGCCTGCTGCTGTCCTTCCGATGACTGCCAAGAAGATTGTGGCCCTTTTCACACCGGGGCTGGCAGAAGCCTAGCTCCAGCTCGCTACAGCAGCCAGTTCCCCAAAGAGTTCCCTCACAAGTACAACGGATAACGCAGTGGGTGTCACCGCCGGCTACTGTGGGCAACAGCCGTAAGCGTGAAGCATGGAAAAAGCGGCATCATGATGAGCTCTCGGTCATGAGCTCCCGGTCGCCAATCGCTTCCGGCTCCTGCTTCCGGCGCACATCTGTGCCAGCGCTGCATGCAGCCAGCGCCACCACAGGCATCATGCGGAAGCCAACAAAGTAGGCATTCGCCAAGAAAGACGCCTGGGTGGGCACCATCCGTTCAAGGAGATATTCCAGCCACGACAAAGCCGAGATATTCTTGGACAATCTGACTCCTTGCATGGGCCTTGCTAGCTTGGGACTACAGTCATCTACCGATCACACGTCTCACTTTGAATTACAAACCGGGTCGTGCAAGACCCTGCGGTCTGTGGAGAAAGAAGCCTTCCATCGCAGCCTGCCGCTGCCGACGAAATGACACCGAGCTCTCGACACATCACCTGGAACTCGGAGCCACAGGCACAATGTGGCTGATGGCTCTCTCCGGGACTGTCTCCCTAAATCCCAAACTGACGCGCGGAACGAACGATGATGGCAAAGGAATGATCACACCGCACGCAACGCATGGGGCAGCAAGCGGATCTGCGAGACCGGCATCAGCACGCACTGGCCTGGGCCGTCATCAAACACGTCCGCTTTGCGAATCAATGGCGGGTCTGGGAGAGGTGCATCATTGCTTGGGCGAAGGGGCCCACGCAACAGCAACCACGACATCCACGACTCACACTCGCTGGGCCGCTGTGACACAAAACCCACGAAGCCGCCGGAGGCTCACCGCCGGCGGAAGCACAGGTGAAGATCGACAAATGCTTGGCAGATCAGGTGCGCAGTCTGTTTGGAGAGTTGGCCACCGCACCGGCAGCAAGCACCTACTCCGTAGCTGCCCCTCGAAAGATGCTCGCCACATCGAGTCTCTAAGTCTACAGCGGCCGCTCACAGCTCACATACCCTTCCCTGATTGGCCTTCAAGTGCAGACACGGGGCCCAACCACCCCCCGGCTTGCTTCGGAGGCACCGGTTTGTAGACCCAGGCCAGAGCATGCAAGTACTGGCACCACCTTGGTGTGTAGATGCCCCGCACCATCATTCTCAGACTGTCCTCGCTTGAACATTTCCAGCTCCTGCCCAGGGAAAGCTGTGCACCAAGGCGCGAAGTGGTGGTTCCTAGAAGCTGCACGCAACCCTGAGCAAAGCTTTCCGCTGCGCTGCCGGCCGCGAGGGGCCACTCGCTTTCTGTCCTTTCATTGAAGTATCTCATGCCTTCAATGCACGGGCCTTTGCACGGAAGCACGCAGGAACGGTACCACCCAGTCGGACGGAATCTTCTCAGCTCATGGAACGGGGTCCCAAAGAGAAAAGAGGGGCTCTTCAACTGCAAAGCCGCCGGCTGGTCGCAGCGTCCGAAAAGGGCACCCGTGGTGATGTCAAACGACAGCTACAGCCCTACAGTGGCCAGCTCGAAAAGCTACAGGAACTGGCGGCCGCTGAAACCGGATGCGCATGCATGACCTTGTCCGTTTGCTCCTGCGCCCCCTTATGCATGCCCGGCGTTTCGCTGCTGCCACTAGGTGCGTTGCTGAGTTCGCGTGCGGTTTGAGACAAGTCCGAATTTCCGAACTCCATCCGCGCTGCGCCATTCCTACCTTTCCTGTCCAAGGCTGCCAGTAGCTCGACGAATACCGAGGACCCCCCTCCTTTGCCCTGACCAGGAGTGCCATTTAGCGGCGCGGTTTTCCTGCGACCAAAACACGGAAGGAAGCCTTTTCAGGTGACAACCTGGATCGGAGCATCTGCAGAGATCAGGATGCATGTTCGGAGCGGCTGGGCCGGATTGGGACAGATCTTTTGGATCTTCCTTCCTGGTTTTACGCCAAGACCCAGTAAGCCTCGCTTGAGCAAGCAATCGGAAACCAAACTTTAGGGATTCTGGCACATCGGCAGGTCAGGTTAGGAGTTCGAGTTACGGCTATGTGGTCTCTCTACACTCGAGGACCGTTCCAAAAGTACATGCTGCCCCGAGACCCCTTCGCCAATCCTTCCGTTCAGCAGGCGCTCCGCATGGAGCCGCTTCGCGTCTACAGCGGAGCAGCACCTTGACGCAAGCTCTGCTAGACGAGGCAGAGGAGGATCAACTCTACTGGGCCGGCAAGCAGCTCAGCTCAGCTGAGCCTCTGAAGGTTTAGGGCTTAGCGGGCATTAGGGTTTAGGAAGTTTGAGGAGTTTAGGGTTGAGGGAGTCCTTCCCGACGCCTGGAGGTCTTTGGCCCGGGCTGTGATGCTCACCTCGGGCCTGAGTTCCCTCTGCATCGTCCTAGAGCCGACATGGCGTCATGACGCTTGCCGCAAGACAGCAGGGACAGAGCCGCTTCTCAGCAGATCTCTGCAACATGAAGCCAAGAGGCGGGCAGAATGATCAGTGTGACTTGACATCCGTAGCAGGGCAGCTGCAGCATGCTGCACGAGCGAGTGAGAGTTGGGCAGGGATGGAGGTCCTGCAAAGTACCGGAGACTGGACATCCGACCACTGACCGAAGCTCAACTGCGAATCCTGTCAGTTGTGTCCTCCGAGTCTCTCTCTGGAAGAAGCAGGGCCTCTCATTCACGAGAACACAAGGACTGAAGGAAGCAGGACGGAGCCGGCCAAGAGTGGGAAAACTCCAGATGTTGCATGGATCCCCGGATTCGCACAAAAGGACCATCCCCCGTGAGGGTAGAGGGGAAAAACATGGGAAAGCAACAGCAGAACTTCATCCAAACTTTCCGTCCCGGGCATACCATGGAGCTCGAGCGCCATGCCATTTCAGCTGCAAGTCTGCAAGCGGGAGCTGGATGGGGAATCCAGACCGATGCCCATGCCCTCATGTTGGATAAGCGGTCAGCTTGAGAACCATGCCACGGATTCAGATCGATTGACCCTTCATTGCAATGCCCTGTGTCCTGGTTTGAATCAACGACGACCTACACCGAGATCCCTGTGCTCTTGGAGACTGGAGCTGCGCAGAAGGTGGCCGTCATGGAGATAAACTTCTGGGGACGCGAGGCTCGGGCGACTGGCGAGTCTCCTCAGCTCATCTCCAGCTTTCCTGCGCACGGGAGATCTCTCATCCCCGAGCGCTCAGACCAGGAACCAGGAGGGCACCGGCCAAGAGCAGGAAACCGCCAGGCATTGCAGGGATCTCCGGATTCCCACACAGGGACCATCCCCTGTGAGAGGGCTTAAGGGGGCTAAGCAGAGCTTCATCCAATTTTTCCATCCCATGGAGTTGGGTTTAGGCGGCCCAGCTCCGGGCTGAGCTGCATAGGCTTGGCTGCAGCTGAAGGCTTGCATGCTCGAGCTGACTGAGGGAGGTACCAAGGGGCCATGTCGATGCAACAGACATCGAGGCTGCAAGGGGCTTCGACGCCACAAACGGACACGTCGGAGTCCGGTCACATTTCGATTTGCGCGCTCGTGCAGACGGGCATGCTTCAAGTCAATCCCTCAAGCACCTGCGCCGGCGTTGCTGACGAGGGCAGAAATGACTTGAGAGGTACCTCAAGCAACAGCTGTTAGTCTGCTTCTGACATTGCAAAGCTGGAAGCATCAGTAATAAGGCTTGAGCTTGGGGTTGTTTATCACATGATAGCCGTTCCTCTCAGTCAGATCAGGATGTGCTGCTGCGACAGGCTCAAAGGGTGACGAAATCGCGACACCAATACGAAGGCACCCTGTGCTGAGAATGGCCCACTGGTGCAAAATACTAGCTGACACAGGAAGCAAAGAACCCTACGTGATTCTCAGCCCCCTTTCTGCTGAAAGCAAGCTTCAAGCGCGTTCCGAGGGCTGGAGGTGCCAGTGTGAGAAAGGTCTTGCAGCTGGGAGGCCTGTTCATGGCTTTCGGAAGTAGGAGTGTCTTTCCGGAGGGCTGCAGATTGACATCAATGCGGTCTTAGGTGCTAAATGCGCAAAG